GAATAATCTCATTTCACTTTCAAGGAACATATTTCAGTTACTCCCCAAGTCATTAAGTCTCCTGTGGAATCTTAGCCTGTCATACAAGGTACTTCACATTCTTATTCAAATATACCTCTCCGGCCTTCTCCTCAAGTGCCTCAAAGACATTACCTTCTCTTACCTGCAGGTTTCATATATGCTGTTCCATCTGCTTTGATACCTCTTCCACCTGCTGTCTGCAAGGCTAATTACTGGCGGACCTACGGAGCAGAGCCCTAGGATGGCTTCAATGAGGAAGTGGTGCCCAGAGGGGCCCTTCCTCTACTCTTATGGAATCTCCTGATTGTCCTTAGGGAAAACCTCACCACACTAGGTTGTGTTTGGTCATTGTTTCCTGACCTGCTCCCTTAGGGCACAAGCTCCCTAAGAGAACTGCTGTGCTAACGAAGGCGGCTGAATGGAGCCTTCAAATTCTGTAACTGTTTAAACCTAGGGCATGAGTTTCACTTTAAAATTTGGTTTTGAAATAATCTCTGCAGATATTACTTCAATATTTTTTGAAAAATTTAGACTTTCTTAGATGAACTGAGTAGCTACATTTGAGTATCTAATTTATTTCATATACATTTTAAAACATCGTTTTCTGTGGGTTAGAAATAGCATTTAGAACTTCCGTTGAGGAGTAGAGGAAAATCACACCCCCTTTTTTAGGTGCATGACTTCAGGTTTAATAAGTAGACCAGTATAATGGCAAAAAGTGATGGTTTTATCTGTGAGCAGTGATGCATTAGCTACTCAGTCCAACCAGGATTTTTCCTATCCTGTCCAACGTGACCCACTTTTGGACCAGAATGAATGAAAACCTGGGTTGTTTTGGTTTTCCCTATACCAGTGTCTCATCCAAATTCTGGGCTCAGGATCTCATCTGAGAATCATCAGAGAATGATGAGTCCTTATCTTTATAATGCTGAATGCCCATTATGGCTTCAGGACCCTATGTCTGAAATGGCACTCTTGGGTGGTAACATGGTTTGTTATTGTTAATCATGGTAGGTGAGATGAAACTACTGGAAAAAAAATATCTTAAAGTGGTATCATGTGTTCAGCAGGAAGAAATGTGTGAATCTGGGAACTCGATTTGCCTGGGTTTGTAAATCTTTACCCATCCATTTCATTCATTTATTAAAAAATAGAAGTTATTAATTCAAAGACTAATTCTAGCCATACTGGTGGACAGAAACCTATCTTTCTTGACTCAGGTCTCTTCTATTTTATGTTTCCTGATTTTCAAGACAGTTATTCAACTTCATTCTCACTTCTGAATCAATAAACTGTTTTGCTTTTGCTGTTTTTTTGTGAAATGGAAGAATGAGAAATAGTGTGTAATCTAAGGGATACGCACGAAATGTACATTGGAAGAAAGATACTTCAAGGCAAATTATCTCAAAATAGTATATTTCCCCATAAAGTTAAATTTTAAGTCCATGACTTTTAAAAAGAAGTATGACTTTCTTGACTTTTATGTACATAACTAAACATATATAACACATATTCAGATCTGTGTGGTATTTTAGAAATTTGAAAATTTTTTTATAGTACAATCAATTCTAAAAGATTTGTGGTGGTTTATATATTTGGTCAAAATAGCAATGGATTTATTTTAGAGGTATATGAAGCATACAAGCAAATTACCTAAAACTTTTGCTTTTTTACATCTACAAAATATTATCAGTGATAGTGGCAGCTGATTTTATCTAGAAACAATAAAAAATATTTGCCTGATTGAAAAGATACCAGGCGAAATTAGATGTGTGGGGCTAGAATTATGTGGTACGGGTTAAGTAAATAATTTTAAAATTGATTAGCGTTGCCTAAAAGGCAAAGTCACAGGCTGTGAGGACCTGAATAGAATGTTGACTAGATAATGATGTGAAAAATGGGGGGATATTTATACTTAAACGCAAAAATCCCTGCAAGAATCCAGCTGCTTGATAACTTACTGGGTGAATTTGTTATTAATACTGTTCCCTAATCACTAATGAGAAATGTTTTTTAAGATTTGAGAGATTGTGTAAATGCTTTGTACCTAAAACTGGTGGAAGTAATTGGTAAACTGCTTAATCAAGTCCCACTTGGAAGTGAATGGGAACTGCAGGGTGGAAAATGTAGGCTGGGGTAAGTAACCCAACAAGTCAGCAGAGTTCTCTTTACAGAAAGAAACAAAGATAGCAGTAATTAATGACCCTGACTCTGTGCCAGAAAAGCTTTCTTCTGACAACTCCAACTTAATTAAAACTTAAGACGTTTCAATGGACTCCGAAAGCCCCTGATGGGGTGAACTCTTGCAGACTCGTGAGAAAATTTTGTAAATTAAAGGAAAAGATGTGTGTTACCACTAGTGCCATGACTCTAATCCCTGACAGTCAAAGAATCTATTTAGCCCAAGCCTTTTCTTTTAACCGGCTCACACCTGCAGGCTTCCTGGCACTTCCTCTGCACCAGAGACGGCAGTTTTTGT